ACAAAAAGGTAAAAAGCAAAAAGAAAAAAGAAAAAGATTAGAAAAAAAAAAAAAAAAAAGGGGATGGATTGTGTGCTTCCCATGATACCGACCATTATGTCCCCACTGAACCGCGTCATCTTCCGTGGGCCGGACCGGCACTAGGAGCCTCAGGTAAGCTTAAGGCCCCGTGAGGCCGCGTATGGCGGTTCGTGTGTAAGCCTAAACCACTGCACAACTCTAAGCATAGCACATGCATTCAATAGGAACAGTAAGACCATGCCAAGAATAGGATTATAATTTTTACATATGCGGTCCAATTTTGTTAAGTTTTCTCAAAGCAAGTTTAGTTTTGGGCCTAATCAATAAGTGCAATCAACCGTTAATATCACTAACAAAATAATAAGTTTAATTTAATCTAGCATAAACATTAACGTTAAACTCAAACTTAACTAAACTCATATTAATTACTAAAGTAATAAAATTTTTATAATGTCATGTAACTAATCGGTATGTACGTACAAATGCTAATTAACTACGATTATAGTAACTTAAATTTAATTAACTATCCTGATTAGTTAAACCTTACACGTAAACTCAACTTAAAAGTATTAAAAATTTTAAACTAAGTAAGCTAAATTGTAAGTTAAGCTCGTTCATTGCCATTAGTATCAAATTCAATTAACTAAAAACTATACTTTAATTATTTGTCTAAAATTACTAGAAAGTTTTAATCTATCTAAGTTTAAGTTATACCTGTACAAAATGCTAAAAATTATGGTCATGCCTGGAATTACCTACTGTCCGGAGATGGAGCTTACAAACGTGCCCGCGATGTGAGAGAGCAGGTGGAGGGGCTGTGGCCGGAGGTGCCCTGGAGCAGCGGCAGTGTAGTGGCAGTGGCACATGGCGGCGGTTGAGGAGACTGGGGGTTGAGGCAGGCTGCCGACCGATCGAGAGGGCAGCTCAACCGGAGCTGGGAGCTGCACAGTCCTGGCAGCGAGGTGGAGCTGGCTGGCAGTGGCGCGCTGGAGGAGAGCGAGGCCGACGCGAGGTTGAATGCGACTGCCTGCGTGAAAGTGGGCGGGCGAGGCTGGTGGCAGCGCAGCGAACCTGCTGTCTCTGTCGCTAGTCACACCACGAAGACAGACGCAGGGAGGAAGGAAGGAAAAGGAAAGAAAGAAAGAAAAGAACCAAGAAGAAAGAAGAAGAAAAGAAAAGAGAAGACAGAAGGAGGAGGGTGAGTGGCTGGGGAGCTGTGGTGTCACCGGTGACTGACTGGAAGTGTGTTGAAGAGGTGAGCGGGTGAGCGTTGAATATAGAGAGGAGAAGAGCTTTTTAGATGGTTTGTGGTCCGACCGGTTCCGATTCGGTCCGAATTTCGGCCCAAACTCTTTGGTTTTCAAGTGGTTTTTTTCGACTTTTCTCATGTCGGTTTTCGGTTTGGTTTCTCACAGTATATGGCGCACTAAAAATACTTAATCATTGATTTTGTCAAGGTCGGTCGGATACATGTTAATTTAATGTGGAAAAGTTTTTGATAAATATGTAATTTTCGGTTCGTTTCAAGTTATACTTTTTATCTATCAAATGTAAACAATTTTTTCCTTTAATGGAGTAAAATTAAAATTGAATCAAATATACAGAATTTAACACGGCTGAGTTGGAGTTTTTTGTTTTTAGACAATTTCTGGATGCTTATTTTTCTAACATCAAACTAAAACCGAAATTGAAGTTATGTGAAACCAATGAATTCTAGAATCTAATAACTAAAATTAAAATCGGTTGAGTTGATTTGTTTATTTTCAATAAAATCATTTCATGCTCACAAGCGCCCTAGCATACAAACACTTTTCTTCCACATGGCTTTAAATACATCTAAGAGATGCTTTGGGAATTATGCAACTTCGGTCTACAACTGTAAACTCAAATTTGATAATTTTTGACATGTATATCAATAATCTCCCAATTTGAAAAATAATAAAATGCAATTATCCCAAAAATGAATTTCGATTAGAATTAACACTTTTCATGCTTTAAAGTCAAGCGCCAACCCGAATTTTGCATAAACTTTCCCAATACGGGCTCACGCATACACCATCGAATCTATTTTTTAAAATATTTTTTTACTATTTTATATCTTTTTTTCTCCTCTAAATAGTGAAATACATATTTGTCTAAACTACTATTTTTGGAGTTGAAAAAAATTGTTTTTTTTGCAATATTTACAGGCCTACCAATCATCTTTCCCCCCTTTGAACATTAATTTCATTACAGCGTTGATTGTTTTTGGAAATTTAATTCTTTGTTAGTAAGTTCTGAATCGAATTTTCTTGGTTTTTTATTTTTATTTATTGAGTAACCAAAATAGGAAAGAACCGATTTATGGTTTTCGGGCTATCAATACTTCAAGATCGTAGAGCGTAGATTTTCAGATTGTCAAATTAGGGAGACTATACAGTTTCGGTGTCTGTCTTTATTGGGTAATTTTTGGCATTTTCTTAACAAATACAAAGAATTGGCTTAAGGACTTATGGTTTTTTTTGGTGTCAATAGACTTCAGTACTACGAAATCAACTTTTGATCTTAAATCTTTTGGTAAGTGGTTTTTCCTCCTTCCTGGAATTTTCCTACATTAGTCTGTTCTAAATTCTTTATTATCTGCTTCGCTCTGCTGTACCGTGTTAGGTGTTTCTGTATCCAGTTAATTTTGAGGCAAGAAGGCATTTGTCAAGAGAAAGATCCATGAAATGGGAAATAAAGCATGACCAAGAACGAATGAAAGTTAAGTTGCTGGTTTTTTAATTCCATTAAGAACCAAATGGTAGATTTGCCCAATTAGTAGTATTGATTACCCCATCCCTTTTGACTTCTTTGTATGCCATAGAACCAGAAGCCGTATTTGTCAATGTTCAACGGAAAATTGATAAGAAGGTGAACTAACAAGTAACCAAAATATTGTTTTTTCCTACAAACATAGTTCTCCATATCAACCCACCATAAAGGCC